GGTGGAAGACAAGCATGAATATATGTATGTATGTGAAAGTTATTAATTTAAATACTTTATTTTTAATATTCTAAACAACATTCCAATTCACGCTTCAGTCAGTCGTGACCACCTGTAAAAGGCCCGAAACGTTAGTTTGTTTGAAAAAAGAAATGTATGCGATTATTTGCGATTATTGCGACATAAGCTAAAGAGGTATGGTAGAAGGGTAGTGGGAGTGGAACGTGAGAGTGGAACCATTAATACGTGCCACTGCTGTCACGGGTCTCCTTGCAGACAAGGGCTTAGGTCATAGTCCGCCACGCGGTTTTTCGCGAGTTGTGAACCTTCTTCGACGTGTAAGGTTTCATAACAATTTTTTTCTTCACCGAAAAGCGCTTTGTAAATTTCAAATTAAATTTTGCACATAAATTCCCTCGAAACTCGAACAACGAAACACGAAAACGAGAACTTTAGAAACTAAATACAAATACAATCCCCACCTGGGTAAAGTACTTACTTTAAAAAGTAACTTATTTGTACGTAAAGTCAAAAACAGTTCAGTTTTAAATGTTCCATATGCTTTTGACCTTTTTAAACATTCTTCTCGTCTATTGTTATCTTCAACTGAGAGAATCGGAGTCGTCATAAAGAACTTCTCCATTATACACTGGCTTATATCTAAATCATCTACATTTTAAATGTTTAGGTACTTACAAATATTTTTCACCTCACTAGCTCGGAATGGATTTCTTGCTCATTAGAAATCTTTCAAAAGCGTTTTTTACACGCTAACATTGACTTACAAATAAATGGACGACGGGTCTAATACAAAAACCACGAAAAAAATGTCCCAAGTCAACCTATTCGAAATTTAAATTGTAATGTCATCGCAGTATCGCGCTGTCAGTCGAACAAATGAAGACTAAAGCGGAGTTTGGCGCTCTGTATACGATTTTAGCGCCTTACAAGTGCGGACACTTTTTAGCGCGGACCCGACGTCCATAATTGTAAGTCAATGCACGCTAACGTGGAAAAGGTTTTTGAGATTCGAACTTGACGATGGACTGTGGGACATCTAACTTTTTCTTTCGATGAAATAAAAAGATAATGGCACGTTCAATTAAGCGATTTGTCAGACATTACTTATTTAAGTAACTTAAATCCGTTTATATGTTTTGTTCTTATTATTGTCGACATTAAATTGACAATGATAACTAATTGTGTTTATTAAATAATTTTAAATCGTCGAAGAACTAAAGTAATTTCAATAATCGCACAAAATAAAAGTACAAGCAAGAATAAAAAATGATGAGATGTAAATTCAGAACGCATCCGAAGATAAAGTTTTTCTTTTCATTAAGAAAGGTTTTATAGTTCAACTGTTTTTCTTTCATCTACCATTTTCCTCGCTATAGTGAGGTGAAAAGTTGTGTGTTTCGCTCAGCAGCAAAATTGTTTTGCGTCTCGTGTCTTGAAACCCTCGCTACGCTCAGGAATCTATTTTTGACTCGCTTCGCTTGTAGTGAATCTTAGCTTCCTTCGCTTGCTCAGGTTGCAATACAAGCACTCGCGGCAAACAACAACTTTGCAGCCTTTCATAACAAATAACTGTTTTTATAACGACAGCTTTTTCGCGTTATGAGTGGCATCCCGTACGGAAAGTTGGTGACATTAATTTAATCACCCTTAAAGTTTGTCGAATAAATTAAACTTCACCTTGTGTACATGTGGTCCTTACCGGTACCCGTTTTCACTAACCAAAACTAAATTGAATTTATTTCGAGTACATAGTTGGTAAGTTGAAGCTTTTAGTTCCCTTCCAGTCTTCTGGTTTAATGCATGCGGTCTACCGCTTTGCGGCCCTTCTAACGGTCTGAATTTATTATAGTAAGCTATTAAATCTTTCGATGATTTACTTTTAGGGACTGGATTGTTTAGTTGTAGTGGTGGTAACCGTGTTTATGTACTTTTAACTAAATTTAAACGTCAAATGTGGAGAGTTGTGTACTTTATTTTAAAACCTGGGTAAGCTTTAAATGCAAGTGAATTATTGTTGTCTTTTTTTTGTAATTTTTCTTAATAATATATACATATATATATATATAACTTAATAGAGATCTAAATATATATCCGCGGACGAGCGACCAAGAAACTTGTAAAATAATACACGTATAATGTATGATGATCTTTAAAGTATCTTCGATAGTAATAATCTTGCGAGGCAGTGGAAAAGTTTCTGGAGATACGGACATAACGGAAAGTGACCATTTAAGTCTACTGAATAAGTTAACAATAAAAAAACTGACCTCAAAAGTTTGTGGAATTACATCTATTTACCAAGTTTTCTTGAAATCGGTTACCAGTTTGCGACCTTTAGAGGTGGAATATTCTCTTCAAATTTAAATGGGACCAATATTGCAGTACCCTCTTTTAAAGAAAAAAAGGAAAAACAAAATCGCAATCTTTGTTTTTTTTATTTAAACGGCTTTTTTGCCGTAGCAAACAAGTGCTGGTACTAATCCAGCCGGATCAAAGAATTTTTCTTGGTGTTTATTCAATCTTTGTATTTTTTTTATGATAACAAGTGACGGAACCAACAATTCGTGCACTTGGTGGTGACACGCCTATTCATAACAGCTGCAAAGCCACTCAGACCTTTTAATTGCTAAGATCTCAGGGGCACTGTCACTGCGCCCGTCACCCTGAGACATAAGTTGACAAGTCCCATGCGCCTGTAATTTCACCAGCACCCTTACCCTTCTAAACCGGAACGCAGTAATGCTCATATTACGCTTGGTGACAGAAATAGGTAAGGTGGCAGTACTTCCCTGGACGAAATCTTTCACAAGGAGCTCTACTGCTGCTTCACGTTTGTATTAATCATCATCAACCTTTTTGTATGTCTCTCTGTCTTCTGTCAGGCGAGGGTTTAGGCCATGGCCACAGTCCGCCACCCTGACTTCACACGTTTTTCGAGGGTTGTGAACCGTCTTCGACGTGCAGGTTGCATTATGCTTTCTTTCACCGAAAAGCTCATAGTAAATTTCGCACATAAATTCCGAGAAACTCAGAAGTACGAGCCCGGGATTTGAACCCACCGAAGGCGTAGGGCAATCCATTAGGCTACCTCTTGTTATTAATGATAACACCTACTTAATGCAGTATTGTCACAATAAACATGAATATCATGGTAATATACACATGATACTTATTGAATTAAATAAATGTTGCAAGAATTAGATTAATACATAAATTAAAAATTAGCAATAATTTAATATTAAAATAATTGTAATGAAATGTGACAATTGTTATATTAAGCAGGATGTCATCGGGCTCCGGAAGGAACCTGTGTTAATACTGAGATTTTTTATTATAAAGGCAGTCAGATCAAAGGCTGCCAGAAACAAAAGGCAAATTCCCCTAAGTGGCTCGCTATAACGGTGATCAGTCGATAGGTAGTCCTTTCAAAGCCACGTGTTTCGACCCGTTCTGATTGATCGCATAAAAAGTCAAGCAATTTTTTGTGCGACGCCATTTCTATAAAAGCTATATAGAAAAGGACTTAGACGCTTACCCTGTGGGAGACCCTGCTCGCCTGTGTGATAGATTATTGATTGAGTTTGTTTTTTCATCGCAGACTTTGTATTAGAGCTTCCAGGGACCAATTTCTATTCAATAAGTTGTAAAGTGGTATTACTATCAGTGAAACCGTTGAAAGTTATAAACTTCCGAAAATAAGTCGTCAAACTGTTTTTATCCTTTGATGTAGATCTAAATATTTACTACTTGGATCTAACTGCCTTCTAGTCTATTTATATATAGTGTCATTTTAATGATTTTAGATTTGCTGAACAAATTAAAACTTTTAATATTAAAGATATAAAGATGTACACCTACATCGATAGAAAGTATCATCGCCTAAAAGCGATTTATATTTGTTCTCTCAACATCGAAAGCTTTTTCTTATCTGATTATGGGCGGCATTCATTTTTTTCACTACACAACAATGCTATTAGTTTCGCAATTTGATGGAATAGCGCAAGGGAGAATACTGAGTCCATAAAGTATTATTATTATATGAGTACGAACTTATTGTTTGCTTAGCGGGGTTTAAGAGCCTACTGCGCGAGACTTATCCATACTTAGGACACGACACTGTGAAATAAGAGGCGAGAGGGCGTATATCCTTTCAATCTCCCCCTCACGGATGAACACGTGATGTTATGACGGCTTTTATAGAGTCGTTGGTTACCTAATAATTTGTATAGCACCTAATTGCCAGCGAAAAGCTAAACGATCTTATAAATTACTGCTGGAGCTTATGAATAACTTTTACGTAACGCTATTTTCATAGAAATGGAAATGAAATTGGATTGGATTGTGACCAGTAACCTCGAACTAACACGAAATCTATTGCGTAAAGGATAAGAGTTAGTTGTAGGTACACAAAAAAACGATAAATATTAAATATCTTTCCACCAAAAAACCAAAATCGTGGCAAAAAGTCATATCGACAAGTTGACGGAGAAACCGGCATGAAACCACAAGTGGAAAATACGATTAAATGTGCTACACGAGTATCGTTCATCAGTGTGACGTAATAGAAACGAGGGTGAAGTTTTATTATTGAATTTACAATAATAACCTTTATTTATCTTAAAACATGATCTTAAACAACAGTAATAATAACACACACACTCAACATAGACCCGCACTAGGGAAACCCTGTGTCGCGGGTGCCATGGACACACACATAGACAACCACAAATTACACCCAAACTCACGAGAGAAATAAATGTAAGCCATACAAATATTTCTCCCGGCCCGGGAATCGAACCTGGGACCTCCGCGTGGCAGTCCGGCATGGTAACCGTTCGGCCACCGAGGCAGTTAAAAACAGTGGCTGGAACCTCCTTTTAAAAATATCCTGTGTCTGAAAGCGTCGCTCTTTCTTAGTTACACGTTTTAAATTACACATAATTAAGCTACTTTACCGAGAATTTTGTATGTATACACAGGATGGATTCGTGCTGGTGGGTTCGGTGGCAGGCCAGCGTTATTGGTCATCGATGCTGTCGTTAGATGCGCGTATCACCTGCGGCTGCTGGACACCTGATGACGGGCAAGTCTACCTCGGGACTGCTTCCGCACAACTTGTCGTTATGGACGTGCACGGGGCTATGGTCTCACAGGTAAGGGTCTTCTTTCTTGACGTTTCGTTTGTAAAACATCTGATTGAGTTTTATATTAGGTACTGTTTAAACTTTAACATTTTTAAATACCTGACCGGGGTAACTGTATCTGTACGTTTACAGATACAGTTATACCCCAGGGTAACTGTATCTGTACGTTTACAGATACAGTTATACCCCAGGGTAACTGTATCTGTACGTTTACAGATACAGTTACCCCGGTTAGGAACACCGTTGTGTACAAAATTAGATTCAGAATAATGAAATGGCAAGACAATAATTGTCGCTAACCTGTTTGTTACTTATAGAACAAATGTAAATTTCATAATTAAAGATTAAGGGATAATAAAATAAAATTATTATAATTATGAGATGAGATGGGTGGACCACATCACAGGAATTGCGGGGCGAACCTGGATGAGATTAGCACAGAAACTTTTTTTTTATTTATTGAGGGACAAACAGCTACACACATATAAAAAAATACATATTTTAAAATCAAATTATAAATAAACCCATAGTCCCCTAAATATACATTGAATAAAACAAAAAGTAGGTAAACAGACAATCTGATACACAATAAACAACACGGAAGAAAGAAAAGTATGTATGTGGTCTATGATAAACAACTTCAAGTCATGAATGGATATAGCCCCAGACATATAGACATAACACATACAACACAAGAAACTCGTGCTTAGGAACAACGGAACAGAACAAACATATTAATAAACTGCAAGAGCGCACACAGAGGTAACTCACTGCGCTCAGGACCGGTCGTGTCATTACGTAACGGAAAACAAATCGTAATTGAATTGAAAAATCATTACTAAATTATTAACAATGCATTGAGTGAGAAAAAAAAATGTTAAATAAAAAGAAGTATAGTCAAAAGTAAAGTCACAAACTTGGGAGGCCTATACCTAGCAGTGGGTGAAGTCGGGCTGTATATGATATGATGAATTATTAATACGAATATCGAACACAAAGAAAATTTTCTACGTTCTGACAGGACTCTAACTTGCGTCTGTAATGCCAATCTAGGACACCTAAAATACTTACAACTAAAATAATTTGAACTTGGAGTAATTTTACAAAATATACCTAAGTAAATGAATAAATGAGTAAATACTAAAACGTGGTCTTCAATAAAATCAAGATTTAGAATAGAATAGAATGATTTGTTTCAGAATATGATCACACAAGTTAGTAATAAATGCCACGGCTAGACCACTACACTACACTACACACGTGTAGTTGCACCCTTTATGGTTGCACCCAATGTTGTTGGTAGGGGCTGTCCAGCCTGTTGGCAACAACGGCTAGGATCGACAACAATGACATGAAAGCCCATAACTAATACCTACATCACATACAAATGCCACTACTTTTCTTTGTGCCATAGTGTTTATATTGTTTTCATTTCAATATAAATTGTTCAATGTAAAGCCCGTATTTGGTTTTATAAGATCCATGTAGCGAAACGCGAGACCCCCTACTATCATATATCAACGATGATATTTAATTTTACGGTAAACGCCGTTACTGCCCATGAACGGGTTAAATAAATTATTTTGTTGTACAAAAAATGCAAGGAAAAGTGTAATCTTAGTATTGCAATCTAGCCAGCAGCTACCTTATTACTTACTTCTATATTTTACAAAATGGAAGTATAAAAGTACATAGATCTTATGGAACTGGATGTGAGATGCGTTGAAAATTCTGAACGAATATTAACTGTAGATTGATCGTGGTTCAAGTGGGGATTTCCGAGAAAGCTCTAAGTCGAAACGTGCTTAAGGGGCCACACACTTGAAGAGTTGACTAGACCAAGGCGAGGGATAGTTGTTGCAAGGCCACGAAGAACAAGGGCTCCGTTAAGTGATACGGATACATTTAGACGTGTTCTAAATAATTAATCCTGGGTAATTTTTTGTTGGTTTCAAATTACTTACTAGTGATTTCAAACGTTTATTGACCAAAATTAATCACAGACATGATTTCAAGATTAGTGTATCAATAGCCTAATTGAGTTTCGGGAATAAAAAATTGAAATTGTGGTAACTGTAAAACAATCTGAAGTGAAAACTCTAAAAATCTATAATATATAAAATATGTTTTTGTTTTTGATTCTACATCAAAGTTGGCGTTTACCCAATAATCGTTCTGACATTCGGTAGGTTAATTATTGATTTCGATTTCGATAAAGCTAATGAAAGATTTTTTTATGATGGATTTCATTCGATAGGCCCAAATAGTAGCAGAAGGTGGAATCACACAGATGGCATGGTCGTGCGAGAAGTTCAAAATGGAGGAAGGTGAAGAAGCGATCGAAGGAGGCGTACATGTGTTAGCAGTAGCGCTGGGAAATGGTGAACTGGTGATGATGCGAGGTCACGATGATGTGTCTCCTGTTAGGGTCAAGACTGGATTAAGAGGCCCTACGCTGAACATGGAGTGGGCCAATTCTAGAGAACTTCTCGCTGTTGCTGGGACCCTATTACCAGGTAAATCATTGACGTACTGTTTTCATTTTAAAATGTTACTAAAAGAGCGATTTCTTATCAAAATAAATATAGTAAGCAGTAGAGTCCCTTGTGAAAGGGTTCGTCCAGGAAAGGACTGACAACTTACCTATTTCTGCCGTCAACAAGGAATGTGCGCATTACTACCTTTTGATTTTGAAGATACGGGTGTTGGTGAAATTACAGGCACCTGTCAACTTATGTCTCAGACTGACGGACGCAGTAACAGGTGCCCCTCAGATCATTGCGATTTAATAGCTCTGAGTGACACTGCAACTGCTATGGATAAGTGTGTCTCTTATAACAGCCTGGTGATAAGAGACACGTCAAACGAACAAGCCGTGCGCCTGCACAGCTTGTTCGTCCCGTTACTTAGTATCATAAAAAAATTCAAAATACGCAGCATACACAGTAGGTCTACAGATTACATAAGTACTAGTGTGTAGATGACGTAAATTCCTTCATTTTATTTATTTTTGGAAAATCAAAAGCTTTATAAATAATTTGTAAAAATAAGGATAAAAACATACAGCCAATTACAGGTTTTCGTTTCCATTTATGTGCAATTAACTTGTTTGGTTACTCCTTATTTAATTCAGGGGTGTTCAACAGTACATAAATGTTTGCGAAGAACGAAAGCGTAATGGAGTCCAACGCATTTGCAAAGTCTGAATTAAAGTTTGCTCGCTTTGAAGTTATTTGCGAGGGAGGTAAATGTTCATTTGCTGAAAATTATATAAACGTTCTACATTCGTTGCGTAAATAACACTTTGAATTGGTATGTTTGCTGAACAGATTACATTTCATGCAAAATAATTTTAATAATTTATAAAGATAGAAAAAGAAGAAAGAATAATTTTTTCCCAAAATAGACGATGTTTATCTGAGAATAGACAGTTTTTCTACAAAACACGGGGCTTATAGTATTGCCGTCAGCAAAAACCTTAAGGCTGGCGTCTTTATGTTGGCTTTGTACTTTCTGTGAAGATAACTACTTACTGTATTATATGAATTCCAGTGTAATTTATACAGCGTGCTAACAAATTGAACAACATCTTATACATTGTTCTGATCCTAAAGTAAGTAACTAAAGCAAGTGTTATGGAAATTGGGAACAACGACACAAACACCCAGATCCGACACAATATAGAAAAGTTAGTTTTTTTTTACATTGCCACGATTGGGGATGGAACGCAGAAGGCGACACCATGAAAACCGGTATGCAAGCCACAGGAGGTTGTCAGAATATGTTTATAATTTATAATTTTTATATCATTATAATCAAATTGAACTAAGATAATCAAAACGTTTAGTTTTTCGAGAAATTTAAGAAAAGTAATAGTTCATATTGATATTCATCTTTATTTGCTTGCCACATGGTTTTACATAGATCTTGAAATATATTGTTCCCATACATGTGACATGCTGCAAGGGCACTGCTTACGATTAAACCTTCTTCAATTGTATCTTTTGAAACCTTTAGCTGGTCACTTTACTATTAAAATACTAAAATGAAATGCACCAACGAAAATATCGTTATCAAAGTTATAGGATTTGTTTTAATACCTACGGCTTAGCGCGCAGCGGTAACGTTAAATTGTAAGGCTTCATTACAACATTAGTCGAGGTTAATAAAGTCATAACATAGAGATGTTAAAAAAGGTACAAGAAAAGAGACGCTTATTAAAGACAATAGTGAACTGCATGGGGAAGAGCATCTGATATATCATGACAACTTTCTTACAAGCACTATAGAAGGGAAGATCGGAGGAACACGAGAGGCAGGAGGAAATTTAAACGTAGCTATTTAATCGATACTACCGTAGCTCGAATTAAATTTCTTCCCGTACTAATACGGTTAATTTTGCTTGAGACGAGCGACAGGGACACTGGCTTTATTTCAGAATGTATTTTTTTACAAAGTCAAAGTCAAAGATTATTTATTCCATAGGTAAAATAAATTTACACTTGAAAACATCACATTTAAGCTACTGCTCGTTCACTACGCTGACCTCCCTGAGAAGAACGAGCAAGAAACTCTAGGGATTGCTCTTTTCAAATAAACTTAAATGCTATGGAATACACTTTGAATCAAATTTGTGTGGATTCTGGAGCCATGTCGTTTCTTACCACGGTATGACTTCTTTTTATTTTCCCGATATTTCGGAACGGTTG